TCACCACCATCATCATCACCACCATCATCGTCATTATCCATCATCATCACCACCATCATCATCACCACCATCATCATCACCACCATCATCATCACCACCATCATCGTCATTATCCATCATCATCACCACCATCATCATCACCACCATCATCATCACCACCATCATCATCATCACCACCATCATCATCACCACCATCATCATCACCACCATCATCATCACCACCACCATCATCATCACCACCATCATCATCACCACCACCATCATCACCACCACCATCATCATCACCACCATCATCATCACCACCATCATCATCACCACCATCATCATCACCACCATCATCATCACCACCATCATCATCACCACCACCATCATCACCACCATCATCATCACCACCATCATCATCACCACCATCATCATCACCACCATCATCATCACCACCATCATCATCACCACCATCATCATCACCACCATCATCATCACCACCATCATCATCACCACCATCATCATCACCACCATCATCATCACCACCATCATCATCACCACCATCATCATCACCACCATCATCATCACCACCATCATCATCATCATCACCACCATCATCATCACCACCATCATCATCACCACCATCATCATCACCACCATCATCATCATCTTCAGCCATGGTCAGTCCACTGCTGGATGAAGGTCCCCTCCATAGATGCCGCTCCCGACCACCCTTCACGATCCTGCGATGCACCTTGAGCTAGTTTCATCGCCCCATCTCCACCCAGTGGACGTCCTCAAGGAGGAGTTGCGCTCCTTGGTGGCTTCTCCGATCTTACTCTCGTCCCGTCTCGCCGTGACGCGTCTTGCCCAACAGGCACGGGGGGGATGGTGGAGGGGGGGTTAAGAAACTACCACACTGGAAGATCAAACGTGGACTGGCGAGCTTTTTGATCGCAAGTCCCCGCGTTAGCGTTCCCCGCGTTCGCGACAACCCAAAAAACTCCCCGCACGTTAGACACGCTAAAACGCAAAACCCAAAACCGTCGGGTTCGGCAAAGTTGAAAGCAAATTAAGCTCATGCTTGAATTTGTAACCGCAGCCCGTAAACAAAAACACGTGTGTGTGTGTGCGTGCGTGCACGCGTTCGTCACACATATGGTTTAGCAGCAACAAAAAGTATAATTTCATCATCACTTTTTTTTCCTTCCCTTTTTCTTATTTTTTGTTGTTGTTGCAAAAACCATCTTCTCATGGAACGGTCCCGGAGGTCAGAGTTCACCTGGACAGTTGGTCATTGTGCTCCACGAGAAGCCTGCGCTTTGCGTTTGCAGCCCCTGGCGGGGAAGGAGTTGACTGCCCTCACGATTTCCAGCCACGTGTCCCAAGATTCTCCGCCCTGCCAGCGAATGTCCCAATGGCAGCGGGAGCAGAGTATGGACAACGGGGGCTTCGCGTTCCACTCAGTGAGTGGCCAGGCGTTGACGTCACGGTCCGTGGCTGACCACGTTCCGTGTGGGTGGTCATCGCAACCCACCCCCCAGGTGTGCAGGCCGTCTGACCGCCGGCCCGCCCGCCCGCCCGCCCACCCGCCCACGGGCGGACAGCGTCAGCTCAGACAGCCGTGCTGCCACGTGGGAAAGCGAAAATGCCGCACGAGCGTACATCGGCGTCTCATAAACAATAATAATAAACTACCCCGTAGCGCGAGTCGGCTCGGGCGGGACTGCCATGTAGACCGTCCATCGCTCAAATTACAAAATGAAGTGGCAGAAGAATCGACAAGCAGCTGGAGGTGGGGTGATGATCACGGACGAGGCCGCACGCTACGTGCGTACGGCCTCCTCCGTGATGCGTTACGCACGTACGTTGAACTCCTTCCGCGACCATATGTAGCCAGCCGTGCTCATTGAAAGGTTGCGCAGAGGAAGGGGAATGAGTGGGAGAGTTGAAGGGGAATTCATAGAAGGGGAATTAGTGGGAGAGAAAGGGGCAATGAGTAGAGTGGGCATGAGTGGGAGAGTTGAAGGGGAATGAGTAGAAGGGGAATTAGTGGGAGAAAAGGGGGCAATGAGTAGAGTGGACATGAGTGGGAGAGTTGAAGGGGAATGAGTAAAGGGGGAATGAGTGGGAAAGCGAAGGGGAATGAGTAGAAGGGGAATGAAGAGAGACGCGCGAGCGGAATGCGGTGACGACGCTGGTGGCGAGAGCCGCATGCGTATTCGGCATCCCACTCAGGGGACGCCGATGGTAGCGGCAGCCAAGGAAGCGGACCGCGTCCGGGATGGACGTCCAACGAGGGAGACGGAGCGGTGAGATAATTTCACGTGCCGGTAGGCTGGGTGGGATCGTGACGGACGGCTGGTGGCTTGCCACGGGGGTGGGGGGGGGGGGGTAGTGGCTGGGGGGGGGGGTGGGTTTGGGTGGCGGGGGGCAGAGGTTTTCATCCAGCAGTGGATCGACCATGGCTGCTGCTGTCGCTGCCGATGATGACGATCCTGGCTCATGAGGCTTCAACGCGACGCTCCATCAGGCGACTCTTGCGTTGCGTCAGAGTTGGGAGCTGAGGGTGGGGGGGTGAGGGGGGGGAAGGTGGGGGGTTGCGCAAGGGAGGTGGAAACTAAACTCAGGCAAGGAAAGCCACGGGGTCAGGCCGTGGCATTTATTTATTTATTAAATTGAAGGTCGGCAGGTGCGACGGGCCGCCGAGTGATATTTCAACGTGAAGGGAGTCGAGTTTTTTTTTTATTTTTTTGGCGAGACGCAGCGGCGAGAGCCGGGACGTTTGAACAACGTCCAGTAGTCGTTTTTTCTGTTGTTTTTCGTACTGTGAAAAGTTCGCGATGCCGGTGCCCTGAGTCTCGTTTGCCAGAGGGGACACACTGGCGGGCAAGATTTGAGGGCCAAGCGGTGAAACGCGTCCCAGCTCCTCACCTGGGCAACCACCGCACACACGCACACACCTGCTGGCCAGGCGTGCGCACTCGGGAACCAGATGCCTTGAATTAGAATCAGAACGAGAACTTTATTGTTGCCCGGGTAACTTGCCCATAGAGCTACGAGACCCTTTGTTCAAGGGTGACTCGTCCAGCAGACAGACACGGCAGCAGCAAGAGTTCGTAAAAACAACATGTGAAATATAAAAAAAATCTTCTTTGGTTCTTTCGGTAAAGTCACGTAGAATGAGAATAAAATAATAAATTGATAAAATAAAATAACGCAATAATATTCTCACAATAATATTCTCACGACGTTATAAAAAAAATGTTAAGTAAAATTAAAAGAAAGTTATCTTTCAAGACAATTCCGTACGTTCGCATTCGTGTTGTTTCGACCTCAAAAATGTCTGTTTCAAAGAGTGCAGAGAGATGGCAGCGTGGCGATCCCCAGAGAAGAGACCCTAAGGTTGGTTCCAAGACTTTGGAGCAGCAGCAGCTGCTGCATGAAACACTTTGGAACCAAGTTGTGTACGGAATATGGGAATCGTGAACGGATAATCAGACACGCGTCGCAGATTATTATAATTAAAAAATATATATACGTACAGGGTGGGCTTACAAGTCAGGATACGTAGCGTTATTATATTTTCACAATCAGCTAATTTAGTTTTTGGAACTCCAAACTGCAACCGTCTGTGTGAAATGGGCGCCTCGTGCTATGAGAACGTCGGCGTAAACCAAACGTCCACGTGACTTGAGTTGATATTGAAAACAGCCTCCAAGTCGTGTTGTTGTGTGCGTGTGTGTATGGGGAGCCTGGCACAAGCGCCGTGGTGACGTCGCCGCCGCTTAGTGGCGAATTGCGTTTGTTGTTGTTGTTGGGGAGCAGCGACCACCAGAGTTCGACTCCCGCTTGTGGCCAACGCCGGTTCTGTGGCCTCCCCTAAGTCGGCTCGGCCTTAAACGATTACCTGGGGCGGTGTGGGAACGTCAACACTGGGTAGACGTGGGCTGGCCGGCCGTGGTTCTGGCTCCCACCCCCTCGTGAGCCGCGCCATTCTTCATCGGTGCTACTCGCGAACTGCACTTGCCCCCCGCAGTCTGTTAAAGGCTTTACACGGGGGACCTTTGTCTTTGTTCTAGGAGTGGACCGGTTCAGTGAGGATATTGAGCAGATGATGGGATTCAAGCCCGGCCTCTACTGGAGGCTTTGCTGGAAGTTCGTCAGCCCCTGCTTTCTGCTGGTACCCGCTCTGAACAACAACGCTCCCTTTGTCTCGCCACTTGGTTGTGATTCCCGTTCTTTATCCAATGTTAATATTGTACGTACGTACGCATGTTGAACTTCTTTGGCACCATATGTAGCCAACCGTGCAGATCCAAATGAACAACGTTATGGTTAAAACAACATTATGACCAACATTATGGTTAAAAAGGAAAATTCCTCCCGAGTCATTTTTGCCGCGAGGTTCCGCCGCCACCGGTACTACCGCTGCCACCACCGCCACCACCACCACCGCCGCCGCCACCACCGCCGCCGCCACCGCCACCACCCCCACCGCCACCGCCGCCACCACCACCACCACTGCCACCACCAACACCGCCACAATCGCCGCCGCCACCACCACCGCCGCACCCGGGGTCACAGGCCGGAACCCCCGATTGCGGATGTAGCCGTGACCGGGGCGACTGCTGCATCGGGAGAAGGCCACGCAGAGACGCGGGAACCCGCGCCGGATTGTGGTGGCCCTAAAGCAACTTGGCAGCTGCCAGCCACGAGCGCCTCTCCCCGGCGCAGCGTCCACGTGACCTTTGATATTTCGCTGGAGCCTACCCAACCCACCAACCCCCCCCCCCCACTCCACCACCGGCGCACTTCACAATCGCCTCTTTTCCGTCGGCGTGGCTTTAGGTTTTGACGTCGTCGTTCATCCTCATTGTTGTCGATAAAGTTATTGTCGCCGCCACTGCCGGTCTGGCGCGCGCTCGCACGCCTGCTAATTTTGAGCGTCGGTGGAAGATACTTTCATTAAAGGGTTTGGAGAGGCAGAGCCGGGAAAAAAAATTGGCACGAAAGGGGAATTGTGTAAACGCTCGCGTCTGGGGTGGCCCAGACGTAAAAACTTGCTTCTCTGCTGCCGAGCCACAGCTTGGCCTTCATAGTCAGACTTCCTGAGAATGCACAATCCAGTTACCGAACGTGTATCGTATGCTGCATATTAGACGTCGAATTGGATATTATGATGTTCACTTCGTGTTGTGATCGTTGGCCGACGACGTTGATGTTTCGTGTGGGTTTAGCTACGGCAGGAAACCGGAGAACTCGGAGGAATTCCACGCAAAACTGGGGGGAGAGAATACAAACTTCATTCACTCGCACGCTCGCACGCTGAACAGAACGGGTTGGACAACATACATACAAACGTACAAACTCCACACAAAAAAAGCTGCCCGAGTCGGGAATCGAACCCAGGCTGATTTACCATTGCACCACTCTGCAGCCTATTATTAATACTACCCTGTGGAAGACGTGGTCACATTATGGGGCTGATAACCCTGTCGGAGATGCTGAGCCGGTAGTCCCGAGACATCAGTTTGACTCCGGGCTACAGCCGGCAGTGATTAATCTGGGTTCTGGCCAATCATCAATATAATAATCATCGTCATCATCGTCGTCGTCGTCATCGCAATTGTCTTTGAGCAGTTGGTGGTGATATCCGCCAGAGGATGGCTTGGAAGCGTTCCCAAGCGAAATTAAATTTCTGCTCGTGATGTGGCAACTGGAGAAGAAATCGCAATGAAAAGTGAACGCGAATATATATAAAAAAAACATAAATATATATGTATAAAAGCATAAATATAAAACGGTTGCGAATTACATCATTTGCAGGCACTGGACGTTGCTGGCTAAAATCTTACCCATAAATATTGTGCTTTAATACAACCCCCACCCTATGATTCTCAAAATTATTATTAGTATTTCAACAGACCCATGGCTTACGGTAAACGGGGGTTTGATTTGATTATGTTAATGTGAAAATGAAATATAATCAGACACCGGTGCACTATAGACTCACACAGAGACCCATATACTCACACAGATACCTATAGAGACGCACAGAGACCCGTAGACTCGCACAAAGACCCATAGACTCACATTGAGTGACCACCTACAAGCACTCCCCCAAACCCTAATTAACTAGCCAAGCAGCTACGGGCACTACCCCAAACGCCTAACCCCGATCACGCACACAAGTCGCGTGACTCACTCGTGGCTCGAGCTGGTGTGGAGGGAGCAATGCACTCCTCAAGATGTTGTCAAGCCACTGCAGGATGAGGACCTCCCATGCTCTGCAGGCTGCGTTGGTTATTTGAGGCCATACTTCACCACACCAGTCAGTCGTGTGGGTCGGTGATGGTGTAGATCATAGACGCGGGAATGTAAGAAGAGAGTACAACAGTGTCGTTACCTGTGCTTGATGACCCACCGCTACCTACCCAGAGCACCCATCCAATCTCGTCGCCAACGTCCGGAGAGATCGGGCGAGATCGGGTGAGGTCCGGCGAGAATTTGGTGAGATTGGGCGAGATTGGATGAGGTCTGGCTAGATCCTGGCGAGATCCAGTGAGATCCGGTGAGATCCGGTGGGAATCCGGTGAGATCTGGTGCATACCTGTGTGATTTAGGCAGAGGCAATGTGGATTTATAGGGCACATGACCGCAGCTGCGTGACAAGAGCACCGCTCGTTATCTGTTGCGCTCCGAGACTTGCTCATCTCCAGATCTCTGAGCCCCGGCCTCTTGTCCGTGCGTACGTTCGCGTGCCGTGCCTGCCTCAGTGGTTGCTCGCTGACGGTGCTCGCTGAAGGCGCTCGCACCACCAGTCCGCTAATGTCTACACGTTGGGTGGGTGGCGGGGATCGTTGTCTCTGTGTGCGCGCGCGTAGTTCGTGGTGGTGGCGAGCATCGTGAATGCGAAGCCGCTCTCCTACGACGAGTACCAGTTCCCCGACTGGGCCAACACGGTCGGCTGGGGCATCGCCATCTCCTCCATGATGCTCGTGCCGGTCTACGCCATCTACAAGGTCATCTCCATCCCCGGCACTTTCCGTGAGGTGGGTCCTGAACCGCGGTCCCACGACCACCCACGCAGTAGGCCGAGCCCCCCCCCCGGCTCGCGAAGCCGGCGATGGAACTCTGGGGCTCCCGGCGGCGTTCCATGCCAACCGCATGCCGCGTCCAATTCTGGGCTTCCGTAGGCCGCAGTTGGACGCGGCGTCGATACGGCGTCGCTGACTAATTTCAGGGCTTTGGCAAGAAAGCTTTTCTTGGGGGGGGGGGGAGCCCGAATTCGTTTCCATGCCAAGAATATTCCTGGACGAGTGGACAAAATTGCTTCGACAAAGAAAGAAAATAAAAAGCAAAGCATGCAATGTCGTAGGTGGCAGGAACGTTGAAACCCCACGTGGCGATTGAACGCTGTACTTCGGCTTGGGGCCGTGTCCTCACCACGTCACCAGCCTGACCCTGCCCCAGCAGCAGCGACTTTTGGCTCGTCAAAGGAGCATGAACCATCATCGCGCGACCTCTGCTGATCCTAGCAGCAGCAGTGGCTTTCGGCTGGCCATCGAAACAAAGGCGGTGGTGATCACATCGCGCGGCGCTTCCAGATGAGCTTCTGCGGCCGTCTGGAAACGCTCGTTATTCCGATATTAGGAAGCCACTGGAGCTATGCACTTTCACATTGAAAACTCATTTAATTTAGAACTGCTTTTTGTTTTTCGTGTGTTGTCCTTCCGCCGCACCTCCGATTAGTACGGTTTGCTACGTGCATTGCGAAAGAGGTTCAACATTGATACACACAAACAGCCTCGCAGGGTCAGCATTGAAGCGACACATTAAGCCAAAATCGACTTCAGGCGTTGTGTTTACATTTAAATCGTGAAGTGGAACATTAAAAAAATATATATTTTATTTTGGAACAGCAAGACCTAACCCAAGCTTATAGTTAAACCTCGTGAAAATGATTTAAAGTTGTCGCGATTGCTTCGCTGTCGCAGCAGTGAAGTTAAAACCCCATGTTACGTAAAGAAAAAAATGTGGATTGTGTAGAACTTGGAGTTCTGGAAGTATTCAGTCTCTCAGAATTAAAAATATTGTGTTCACTGTTACGCAACAAACCAAACCTTTGCTCTCAGTGTGGTATCTGCCTCTGTAGGTCGTTGTACAACATGAAGGGTCTCGTGGCTCTGCGAGAAGGAATCTCAGAGGTAGCTCTGTGGTATCTGCCTCTGCGGGCCGTTGTTCAACATGAAGGGTCTCGTGGCTCTGCGAGAAGGAATCTCAGAGGTAGCTCTGTGGTATCCGCCTCTGCGGGCCGTTGTTCAACACGAAGGGTCTCGTGGCAAACTACAAAGAAATGAGATGCAAAAAAAATATCTAAATATAGAATGAAGCAACTGGCCGCAACTCTTCACCACAGTGGTTATCGCGGACGCTAACGCTACGCGTTTGGAACGCTTTTCAAAGTTTACTTGTGTTTCAGAGGCGCAGGATACCGCAGAGGAGAGGGGAAGGCAGCCAGAAGCGGCACGACGAACAATAACCCAAGCTCTGTGGCGCTACGTTTGTGTGTTTGGCGGACTCCATGAACGAGTTGCTTAAACACGTGGGAGTATCCAGAGAAACCCCACGCATGCCAGGGGATGGGTGCAATGCTCGATCCCCGCACAGCCGGTAAACGTCTCCAAGTTGCAGGTTGTGGTCCCGTTCACCGCTGCATCGCAGAACCGCACAGCCGGTAAACGTCTCCAAGTTGCAGGTTGTGGTCCCGTTCACCGCTGCATCTCAGAACCGCACAGCCGGTAAACGTCTCCAAGTTGCAGGTTGTGGTCCCGTTCACCGCTGCATCTCAGAACCGCACAGCTGGTAAACGTCTCCAAGTTGCAGGTTGTGGTCCCGTTCACCGCTGCATCTCAGAACCGCACAGCCGGTAAACGTCTCCAAGTTGCAGGTTGTGGTCCCGTTCACCGCTGCATCGCAGAACCGCACAGCCGGTAAACGTCTCCAAGTTGCAGGTTGTGGTCCCGTTCACCGCTGCATCTCAGAACCGCACAGCCGGTAAACGTCTCCAAGTTGCAGGTTGTGGTCCCGTTCACCGCTGCATCTCAGAACCGCACAGCCGGTAAACGTCTCCAAGTTGCAGGTTGTGGTCCCGTTCACCGCTGCATCTCAGAACCGCACAGCTGGTAAACGTCTCCAAGTTGCAGGTTGTGGTCCCGTTCACCGCTGCATCTCAGAACCGCACAGCCGGTAAACGTCTCCAAGTTGCAGGTTGTGGTCCCGTTCACCGCTGCATCGCAGAACCGCACAGCCGGTAAACGTCTCCAAGTTGCAGGTTGTGGTCCCGTTCACCGCTGCATCTCAGAACCGCACAGCCGGTAAACGTCTCCAAGTTGCAGGTTGTGGTCCCGTTCACCGCTGCATCTCAGAACCGCACAGCCGGTAAACGTCTCCAAGTTGCAGGTTGTGGTCCCGTTCACCGCTGCATCTCAGAACCGCACAGCCGGTAAACGTCTCCAAGTTGCAGGTTGTGGTCCCGTTCACCGCTGCATCGCAGAACCGCACAGCCGGTAAACGTCTCCAAGTTGCAGGTTGTGGTCCCGTTCACCGCTGCATCTCAGAACCGCACAGCCGGTAAACGTCTCCAAGTTGCAGGTTGTGGTCCCGTTCACCGCTGCATCTCAGAACCGCACAGCTGGTAAACGTCTCCAAGTTGCAGGTTGTGGTCCCGTTCACCGCTGCATCTCAGAACCGCACAGCCGGTAAACGTCTCCAAGTTGCAGGTTGTGGTCCCGTTCACCGCTGCATCGCAGAACCGCACAGCCGGTAAACGTCTCCAAGTTGCAGGTTGTGGTCCCGTTCACCGCTGCATCTCAGAACCGCACAGCCGGTAAACGTCTCCAAGTTGCAGGTTGTGGTCCCGTTCACCGCTGCATCTCAGAACCGCACAGCCGGTAAACGTCTCCAAGTTGCAGGTTGTGGTCCCGTTCACCGCTGCATCTCAGAACCGCACAGCTGGTAAACGTCTCCAAGTTGCAGGTTGTGGTCCCGTTCACCGCTGCATCTCAGAACCGCACAGCCGGTAAACGTCTCCAAGTTGCAGGTTGTGGTCCCGTTCACCGCTGCATCGCAGAACCGCACAGCCGGTAAACGTCTCCAAGTTGCAGGTTGTGGTCCCGTTCACCGCTGCATCTCAGAACCGCACAGCCGGTAAACGTCTCCAAGTTGCAGGTTGTGGTCCCGTTCACCGCTGCATCTCAGAACCGCACAGCCGGTAAACGTCTCCAAGTTGCAGGTTGTGGTCCCGTTCACCGCTGCATCTCAGAACCGCACAGCCGGTAAACGTCTCCAAGTTGCAGGTTGTGGTCCCGTTCACCGCTGCATCGCAGAACCGCACAGCCGGTAAACGTCTCCAAGTTGCAGGTTGTGGTCCCGTTCACCGCTGCATCTCAGAACCGCACAGCCGGTAAACGTCTCCAAGTTGCAGGTTGTGGTCCCGTTCACCGCTGCATCTCAGAACCGCACAGCTGGTAAACGTCTCCAAGTTGCAGGTTGTGGTCCCGTTCACCGCTGCATCTCAGAACCGCACAGCCGGTAAACGTCTCCAAGTTGCAGGTTGTGGTCCCGTTCACCGCTGCATCTCAGAACCGCACAGCCGGTAAACGTCTCCAAGTTGCAGGTTGTGGTCCCGTTCACCGCTGCATCGCAGACCCGCCCAGCCGGTAAACGTCTCCAAGTTGCAGGTTGTGGTCCCGTTCACCGCTGCATCTCAGAACCGCACAGCCGGTAAACGTCTCCAAGTTGCAGGTTGTGGTCCCGTTCACCGCTGCATCTCAGAACCGCACAGCCGGTAAACGTCTCCAAGTTGCAGGTTGTGGTCCCGTTCACCGCTGCATCTCAGAACCGCACAGCTGGTAAACGTCTCCAAGTTGCAGGTTGTGGTCCCGTTCACCGCTGCATCGCAGAACCGCACAGCCGGTAAACGTCTCCAAGTTGCAGGTTGTGGTCCCGTTCACCGCTGCATCTCAGAACCGCACAGCCGGTAAACGTCTCCAAGTTGCAGGTTGTGGTCCCGTTCACCGCTGCATCTCAGAACCGCACAGCTGGTAAACGTCTCCAAGTTGCAGGTTGTGGTCCCGTTCACCGCTGCATCTCAGAACCGCACAGCCGGTAAACGTCTCCAAGTTGCAGGTTGTGGTCCCGTTCACCGCTGCATCTCAGAACCGCACAGCCGGTAAACGTCTCCAAGTTGCAGGTTGTGGTCCCGTTCACCGCTGCATCTCAGAACCGCACAGCTGGTAAACGTCTCCAAGTTGCAGGTTGTGGTCCCGTTCACCGCTGCATCTCAGAACCGCACAGCTGGTAAACGTCTCCAAGTTGCAGGTTGTGGTCCCGTTCACCGCTGCATCTCAGAACCGCACAGCTGGTAAACGTCTCCAAGTTGCAGGTTGTGGTCCCGTTCACCGCTGCATCTCAGAACCGCACAGCCGGTAAACGTCTCCAAGTTGCAGGTTGTGGTCCCGTTCACCGCTGCATCGCAGAACCGCACAGCCGGTAAACGTCTCCAAGTTGCAGGTTGTGGTCCCGTTCACCGCTGCATCTCAGAACCGCACAGCTGGTAAACGTCTCCAAGTTGTAGGTTGTGGTCCCGTTCACCGCTGCATCTCAGAACCGCACAGCCGGTAAACGTCTCCAAGTTGCAGGTTGTGGTCCCGTTCACCGCTGCATCTCAGAACCGCACAGCTGGTAAACGTCTCCAAGTTGCAGGTTGTGGTCCCGTTCACCGCTGCATCTCAGAACCGCACAGCCGGTAAACGTCTCCAAGTTGCAGGTTGTGGTCCCGTTCACCGCTGCATCTCAGAACCGCACAGCCGGTAAACGTCTCCAAGTTGCAGGTTGTGGTCCCGTTCACCGCTGCATCTCAGAACCGCACAGCTGGTAAACGTCTCCAAGTTGCAGGTTGTGGTCCCGTTCACCGCTGCATCTCAGAACCGCACAGCCGGTAAACGTCTCCAAGTTGCAGGTTGTGGTCCCGTTCACCGCTGCATCTCAGAACCGCACAGCTGGTAAACGTCTCCAAGTTGCAGGTTGTGGTCCCGTTCACCGCTGCATCTCAGAACCGCACAGCCGGTAAACGTCTCCAAGTTGCAGGTTGTGGTCCCGTTCACCGCTGCATCTCAGAACCGCACAGCTGGTAAACGTCTCCAAGTTGCAGGTTGTGGTCCCGTTCACCGCTGCATCTCAGAACCGCACAGCCGGTAAACGTCTCCAAGTTGCAGGTTGTGGTCCCGTTCACCGCTGCATCTCAGAACCGCACAGCCGGTAAACGTCTCCAAGTTGCAGGTTGTGGTCCCGTTCACCGCTGCATCTCAGAACCGCACAGCCGGTAAACGTCTCCAAGTTGCAGGTTGTGGTCCCGTTCACCGCTGCATCTCAGAACCGCACAGCCGGTAAACGTCTCCAAGTTGCAGGTTGTGGTCCCGTTCACCGCTGCATCTCAGAACCGCACAGCTGGT